CCCCCCCCCCCCCCCCCTCTGTTTTTCTCACCCCCTCTTCCGATTTCCCTCTCGGCTTTTCTCTCTCGCCCATGCACACACTGTCTCTCTTGCCGTGTCTATCCGGGTCTCTGTCTCTGTCTCTTCCCCTCTGTTTCTCTCTCCTCCCCCCCCTCTCGATATCCCCCCTCTCTGTATGTATCTCTCGCTACCGCACTTTTTGTCGACGCAAACAACAAATACCACGGCATGATACAACAAATACCATGGTATGGTAGGCGTTGAAGTGCGGGACGAACCACTGCCCGACGGGGATCGCCACCCAGGACCCCAAGCTCATGAGCGGCCTGCACGTGCCGTCCAAGACGGAGAGGGTGCTGCGGTTCCAGCAGAAGACCGTGCACACCGCCACTGAAATCATATCCGCCGCCGGCGTATCGAATCCTGCAGGTGCGCTGTTAACTCTCAAGCCTGCTGCAGATGGCGTGTTTTTTTTTTTTTTGCATCACCGCGCTAGCTAACCGGCTGGCCAAATGTGGAGACGTCAGTCTCCGTGCGGCTGAAAACAGAAATGACGGGAATGTGTGCGTATTATCTTTTTTCGCATTGAGCGCGCTAACCGGGTGGCCAATGGAAAGACGTCAGTCTCAGTACGGCTGAAAAACGCGAAATGCTCCTAACGAAGGCGCCATGATCCGGGGCCCCGTGAGCAGGCGTCACGACGGAGGCTATACTACTCTCGGCATTTGAAGACAGAAAACGCGCGTGTGTGTGCGTTCGTCATGTCGATCTATTCCGGCGCCAGTCTACACGCCTTTCGGTGTGTATGTTTCTGACGTAGGTACCAGCCGAGGTCACACAAGGGGAAGGTGACATGGGGGATTTATTTTCTGGTGGAGGCGCTTTTTCTCAACATCGGGCCGAGTTTTTTACTTTGGAGAATATTGTGGAGGCTCCGGATGGCTTGCCCAGGACGGTCAGGGTTGTATGGGTTTGTGTTTTGTATTCAGTGGTAGTGTTGGTTGTTGGTTTGGTGGTGCTTTTCTCACAGCAAGTAGCGATGAGATGTAGCTCGAAGGTGGCTTCCATCTGTTTTATGGTGAGTGCTAGTCATATCTTCACATCGCAACCAGTTGTAGTTCGAGTGGAAGGAGTTTTCGACTACTGGTTGTCCGGCCAGCTGCCGTTGCCGCGCAGCAGCAGCAGCAGCAACGGCAGCAGCTGCTGAGGACGAACTCTCGTGTCCTCTCTCCTTGTCTGTTCTGGCTGTACCGACAAATGCCAACCAATTGGCTTAAGCTTGTCCTAGCTGCTCCACCGAGAGATGTGGCACCGCTTGCTCGCCGCATCCAACCGGGTGCCTCACTCATCACATCACTCACCCTGATGCCGAGGTCCATGAAGTTAACAACTTGTTCTAGAGAGAATCGGGATGCCGACCGCTGTCACGCTGTAGCTGATTTGTTGACGATAACGCACAACTTCGACGCCACTGACTCGTGTACGGCAACAACCAACCATTTGCTACATGCCATCGTTGCAAACGCAGAGCTGTCGAGGAGTATGATCAAGCTCCGGAGGGACGGCGTGAACTCCGCCAGCTACGGGGAGCTCTTCCCCCCCTGCCAGCCCGGCAGCCTGCTCGAGGGGACGGCCGCGGAGCCCCTCCAGGAGGTCTGGAGGCAGGGGCAGGCCAAGCTAGCGTCCACCAAGGAGTGACTTGACAGCTACAATCTTCCATATGTAGCACCTTGGACACAGTCTAGCTTGGGTGGCTAGGCTAGGCTACTATACGCGGGGGGTACACATATCGTCGTCGCTCGATGACTCACTAGGCAATGGTGTGACCCGGACATGCATACCGAGCCTCGTGTGCTCTGTTCCTGCCCCCCCCCCCCCCCCCCCCCCCCCCCCCCCCCCCCCCCCCCCCCCC